CACAAGAAACAACAAAACGGCCGTCTAGTACTTCCAGGTTCCTAACGGTGATCTATAACATTGATTCGTTCAAGATTTCAATGAAACTCAACAACCCTATAATTAATATTTTAGCAATACATGTTTCGGTACTTCGGTTCAATAAACATTTAACATCATCCGCAAAAAAAGCAGATATTTCTTGCATTTTGTATAGTAGTTCATTTATAAATAATTCTGTATTCACTGTTAACATTTACAATAGTATTTCGTGACTAACAATCAACATCAGATCAAAAGTTACACATAGGACTAGTAATTCTAAACGACCAATTAACTAAGTCATAATCTACCTTAAAGTTTCAGAGTCATGGAGCGAACGACACTGCATCAATTTACTTCAAATATGATTAACTTGATATAGCATTTCTTTCTCTAATACCATTTACACTTCCAATGTAACCAAGCTAGAAATCTTGAGATACAACAAAGTGCATAATGATGAAGCCTATAATATCACTGCACTTATTCTTAAAATAATGGAGAAGACTGTATATGACGAAATTTCCAATTATTTACCTACTGAAAATTTTCTAACTTACTCACAATATGACTTTCATTAGATAAGATCACTCATTCCTCTAAATTCTGAGCTCCCTAGTTTAGTCTTTGCCGAACATGGCCTATGATATCGACACTTTGACGGTTCTAGGGTATTTAATATGGTTAACAACCAGCTTCTTATTAACGAACTCACAGCTCATGGAATTACAAACTGCCTGGTAATTTGATTTAATTCCCTTCTCACTCACCGCCATCAAATAGTTGGAATAAAATCCCTCCGATGACAAGTGATACAACACAATATAGTGTCTTAGGTCAGTATGCGTGAATCTTTTCTTCGCTCACATGATCTTAAAATAGTGCATTCATTTTCACTTCATAAGCTTTAGTATATGTAAAACACCTTTCTTACGGTGGTCAATATAGTTACTGTGTTGTGCTGAAATTGAAATTTTCGTCTAAGGATTGCTAGATGTGGAGAGATTTACTATGGTTATCGCGTTTCGTAATTTCTACTTCTCTACAAATGGTAAGCTGCTATCAAGATTAAGTAGGTTAGTAGACTTAGGATTCAGATATTCCTATAACCTGTCCTTCTTGAAACAAGTTTCAACACGGATTTCTAAGTCTCAATAACTTGTAGGTTATTCACCACGTAAATCTATGGCAGTGACTTATGTTTCCTTATGTACAAAGTTTGTGTTTGATCACTCTTAGAATGCTGTACTTTTATGATGAGTTGAATTCAAATCAAGCCTAAACCTAGGCTGGAATCTATCCAAGGAAGCTTTACTCCTCACCTTCTTAGTAACGGTTGCACTGTGAACTATAAATGTAAATCAGTTCTCGAGGATATGACACTATATGTAAACAAAGACCAATATGTACTCTTCTCTTTTCATGGTTCGAAATAAACTATTTTGTACATCTACTGATGCGGGATAATCTAGTTATGGCATTCGTAAATTTTTATCAAAAATGAAATGAATTTATTGTAAATCTACTCTCTATATATAACTCCACCAGTAGCCCTTCTAGGGCTGCTACCGGTCCCAAGACCAGATAAAAGAGGAGGATTGGGCGTATGGTTGGTGACCCAATTCTGTAGAAAGCTAACTCGATAATAAAAAGCTAACCAGAAGAATCAATTCAAACCATTTCAACTCTACCCTGGGAGTAAGAAGGTTTTCATTCAGAAGATTTACGTCTCATGATGAAAGCCAAGTTCCTTTGGAAGTTACGAGACCGATGTCCATTCTGACAACTAGAGCAACTATTCATTTAGATACATGGAATGTTCAAACAAAATGGGAGACTGAAAGACTGTTTCGCATTGTTGCAGAGATGAAAAGATACAAGCTGGAGGTGCTTAAATCAAATCTACTCTTTGTATAAATTAGTTTGTTAGTAAATGTTTCGATGTTGTGAAATAATTTGTCACACTCTCTCATTGGAAAAAAATCTCTACGACTATCAGTACTCTACATCGATAACTGCTTTTACATTTTTGATTATTAACTCACTTCATCAATGAAATTATATGAGTTTAAAATACTTGATCACTGTTTACTAACTATATTTGTAAAGCTCCTCTATTGGTGATTTATTTTATCATGATTAAAGTTAATATTTATCCAATCTCATAAATAATGTTACAGTCAACTTACTAAGCAATTACTAATCCATAGCAGTTTGCTCTGCATTATCACAATTCTTGTGATAAATGTCTTTTCAAACACTTTATCCATATTTCTGTGTCTGTTACATAACACATTCTTTTAAAAAAAAGAATCAACCAGATCATATCTGTGATTATTATTTTCAGAATAAATTAATCACTAGTTTTAAATATTAGAAAAAGTTTGTGACTAGAATGTTTCAGTATATCGTTCAAGATATTGACTCAACGAGAAGCATTTGACTTAACTCTATTGATTCTAAAAAAAACCATACAAACCTGCTTGTTACAATTATTAACTTGTTTAATGTACTAGATGCATCATGTATGTAATAACACAAATTACTTTTAAGATTTTTAGATGGATAATCTTAACTAATTCTTTAGACATGATTTTTTTATTCTTACCTCAACTTGATTTCAAATATAAAGGAACTTATGAATGAGTTTTTCGTTTTCAAATTACGCTGATCCTTAGAGAAATATTCTTATTTTTAACAATAAGACATAATTACAAAATATTTCAATTGCATTTATCTAAAAAAATCTTTATTCATGAATTAAAGCTCAAAAAATAAATTAAAGTCACAGATTTCACATTACTAAGAGAAGGTATACATTTTTAATATCGATAATCACTTAAAGTACGATAAGGTGTTAACGTTGACCTTCTTTTAAAAAGATACCTTTTTATGACATAAGATTACTAACTTCATATATAATCTTGCTCAATTAACCGAGCTTAGGATAGGCAGTCACTCCATAAATTCCCCAGCATGAGCTACATTTTGGTAATCATCACTGATATACTCATCAATTAATATGCTTGAATGATATTACGAGTTTACCTTACTCAGTATAAGGAACGGAGAGCACGATAGGCTATTCTAATCCGTTTGTCCCAGACCCTGATAATTAGATCAAGAAGTCTTGATAAGGCATAGAGAATGTTTTCTACAAGCAACCAGAAAATACGAGGTCGCTAAGCACACAATCAAGTTTATTTATAATATCGTGATAGCAACTTCTTCGGCAGAGAGCCACAAAATATCGTACTTAAATAATCCATAAACCATTGACAGTCAAGGATGTTCGAAGTGAAAAATGTAAGCTGTAAGTGAACTTAGCGTCCCTTGGTTCAAAAACATGAAAATTCAAAATTTCCGAATAAAATTACAAAATTAGGGACCTTTTCCAAGTGAGTTCCAGGGATACAACATCCCCAACAATCAAACTATTCGTAAATATCTCTGTATCAGTTAGTTGTTTTGTTCTATCAGTGAACAGAAAATCAAGACACTAAAAATATGACAAGTTCCATAATAGTCTAATTAACATAAGTGAAAACACTTAGAACTCCGCCAGTATAACCTTTCGGCGCTACTGCCGGTCCCATGCCCGGATAAAGGAGGAGGGGTTGGACACTGGATTGGCGCCCCCATCCCATCAAAAAGCTAGCCAAAAAACGCTAACCAGAAAAAAAAATTCAAACCATTTTAACTCTGCCCTGGGAGTTAGGAGAAGAATGATGACGTCGCGTGATGAAATCCGAGTTCCCTCGGAAGTCACGGGGCCGATGCCTCTTCTGACAACAACCAGAGCAACCATTCTTTTAGCTACATGGAACGTTAATACATTGTGGGAGACTGGAAGACTATTTCAAGTTGCGGCAGAAATGAAAAGATACAATCTCGAGGTGCTTGGAATAGGTGAAACTCATTGGATACAGGTAGGACAACTGAGACTAGCTTCAAGGGAACTGCTGTTATACTCTGGCTATGAAAAGGAAAATGCTTCACATACACAAGGAGTTGCACTGATGCTATCCAAACATGCACAAAAGGCACTGATAGGATGGGAATCTCATGGACCCAAGATCATCAAAGCATCCTTCAAAACAAAGAAAGCGGACATTACAATGAACTTCATCCAATGCTATGCACCTACCAACCGCTACAATGACGAAGATGAAGATCAATGCTACGATTGGCTGTAGTCAGCATCGAAGCAGCATCTACGGACCTTCCAAATAATATTGGCGCACCTACAATTGAAGAGATCAGCATGGTCATCAGACAAATCAAGAATGGCAAATCGGCAGGACCAGACAACATTCCAGCAGAGGCAATGAAAGCAGAAGCAAAAAATATTTCACAACCTCTTCAAGAAGATTTAGGATGAGGAACAAGTACCATCAGATCGGGAAGAAAGATACCTGATAAAAATACCAAAGAATAGTGATCTCAGCAAGTAGGAGAACTACAGGGGCATCACTCTTCTCTCAATATCAGTCAAAGTCTTCAACAGGGTATTGTTAAACAGAATGAGGGACTATGTAGACGCCCAACTTCGAGACCAACAGGCTGGATTTCGTAAGTATCGACCGTTTAGCGACCGAACCGCGTCACAAGACAAGCCCTCACATGGAACCCTCAAAGTAAAAAGAAAAGAGGAAGGCCAAGGAACACGTTACACCGAGAAACAAAGAAAGACATGAGAAGAATGAACAAAAACTGGAAAGAATTGGAAATGGAAGCCCAGGACTGAGTTGGTTGGAGGAAACTGGTGGGCGGCCTATGCTCCATTGCGGGTAACAAACGTAAGTAAGTAAGTTAGTAAGAAAACATTTAGCTTACTAAATGGTTGGCCTGAACATATATTCAATTCATAGCTTCTAACGAAACAGTTCGATAATTTATAAGTACACAAAATATAATTTCTTTTTAAATGAATCAATATAGTTTTATTATAATCTGTATTACAATAATCCTGTAAAATGTCAATGTAATATACGTTGAAGCAGTTCATGCATTGGTAAATGTTTAATCTCTTCTAATTGTTTTGCATACCAATCATTCTCATCACTGTCTCTTCTATTGTGAATGCCGGTAGACTGATTTACATAAGATAATCGTTTTGTCACATTTCTATTTGTTACAGACGATGATCTGGTTTGTGATTGTCTTCTTTGCAATTCAGGTGATTCTTCTTCTGAAATGTACGCTAAAAGGAAAAGTCGCATGTTTTTTAATGTAACCGACAACAGTCAAGACATATTTTATTGTCACTGTTTCGCAAGTATAAGTTTAATTCTTATGATAAAAAGACTTTGCGGTTTTGTAAAAAGCGTATATTCCTAAAAAGAGATTAAGAACATGGGCACTAAAAGGATAAGTGAGTTATAATCAATGACTCATCAATATTGCATTACGGGGTTGTGGAGATTGTTAAGTTGCACATTTTTGAAACCATAAATCGATCAATGTTAGACCACCATTAGAAACCTGGAAGCACTGGACGGCCGTTTCGTCCTGGTATAGGACTCCTCATTGTTAGGCGTTCGCGCACAATACCGAAGGTCCTGGGTTCGAATCCTGCTAGGTGCAGGAGTCGTGGATGCGCACTGCTGGTGAGTCCCATACCAGGACGAAACGGACGTCCAGTGCTTCCAGCTTTCTAATGATGGTCTAACATTGATCGATTCATGGTTTCAAAAGATATGAAAATATTCTCGGCGATTTTCAAAAAAAAAAGTTTAAGATCGGAGATAATATGCAATTAGAAGAATTTTTTAAAAATATATTGTTTTTCTTCTATGTACAACAATGAATTATGCGAAAATTTGCGTCGTTTATTTTAATAATGCGAATCTTGTATGCGAAATGAAAAAAACTATTACATAAGTTAGTTAAATATTGATAACAAACTAAGTAAAGTTACAATACTAACTTAGAACAACGATAAATATATCGCTTTAGGGATTATTTTGAAATTACGATTTGTTTTCAATGTGACAGTCATAATAAAAGTAGGAATTCTCATGATCGAAATCATGGACTGATATGAACCAGACCACTATTCGAAACCTGCAAGTACTGGACGGCCTTTTCATCCTACTATGGTGTGCATCCACTACGTAGAAATTGAACTCTGGGACCATCGGTTTCGTGCGCGAACGCCTAATGTCTAAATCATAGGATGTTCTAAACCTACGAATAGTAGGTATTATTACTTTGGAAACGATGCGCCGGTATTCATTGGTTCCTGTTCCAAACTTTAGTCAATTAGCAAAACATGGCTACATTTTTATTTCTCTTGAGTTCACGATGAATGTTTACTAGTTATTATTATTATTATTATTTGATTTTAACACTTACATAAGACGTTGCTTTCCGTCATAGACTATGCTCACTTTTTTTTTCTAAAAATAACATCTTTCACATGTCTTGAAGACAAGAAACAAATTTGAATGATAATATTCTGATTTAAATAAAACAGAATGGTGGTAATGGGTAAGTGAATCATCCTTCAACTGCAAATAAATAACTGCATTCCACTTCAAAATTTTATATGCATTCTTGATACTTAGACCAGTACGCGATTGCTTATTCTTGATTCATAATTTCTGATGCTCCTATTTATTGATTTGTTCCTTTTAGAACTGTCCTTTAATTATACATACCTTTCAGATGTTTTCTTATTTGTTTGGAGTAAAAATCTAATGTATGTCCATCAGAAAAAGCCTTCAAAAATTAGGACATTTTCAGTCTATTCGGATAATAATATTATTTAAAGAACTTTCAAAAATCAAACTATCTACAAATGTTCAACGTGAATATATATATTTTGAAGATTGTTAAGTTACTCATTTGAAATCATGAATCAATAATTGTTAGACCACCATTAGAAACCTGGAAGCACTGGTATGGGACTCAGTAGACATCCTTAAGTTTTTGGTAAGAACTTTGATCTCTGTAATCAACGAAGTCAAGGTGTGAACTGACTGAAACTTAAATAATGTAAATTCGATGTATTTCAACTCAGTGTACCATTTCAAAATCGAGATAGTTACCTTACATCTACCTGCCTTGGATGTTCCAGTGATTTATCAGAGATCACATGTTACTGTTAATTTAGTAAAACTAAACTATTTTGGTGTTGTTTAGTCAGATTTTACAATTATTAACAGTAGATACTGAAACAAATTTCTTTTTCAACGAATATATAAGAGTTGATCCACAACTACCTAACTCCTATCTCGTTCATCACATAACATTAAATTTCACCGTACACTAATGTCCCTAGCGAAAACAACATTAAACGGGAAACGTCATACAAATATTATGCAACCATTAGTGTAGAAATACTCGAATTGATTTCAACAAAACTCTCAAAATTTTTTTTGACTGTTTCCAATGGCACACACACATCCTGCATACAGATAATAATCATTGTTCATCATTCAAACATGATCGATATCCTAGTTTTTTTAAAATCTATCTGGTTTTCTAACTCACTTTAACAGTGAATACTCTTCTTTTCACTTTCTTACAATATTGAGAAACATAATATTAATCATAAGAATGATAAAGTATGAGTCTATCAGAGTCTGGTGATATTATTATCAGTATTATTCATGTTATTATTATTATTATTATTATTACTATTTCTTTCAAAAAATTTGACCTAAATTCGTTTATCTTTAAAAATAAAATCACAAAGAGTTCTTTTTTTGTTTTGAAATGATAAGACCCTCACTCTCTCTCACTCTCTTGCTCTCACTCTCCATAAAGAATGTTTCTTATTGATAACGTCTCAACATATACTTTAAAGTTTATACAAAATTTCATTGATAAATCAGAAGAAAAGCAGATCATTCAAATTTATTTTTTTCTTGTTAGCAAAGTCATTCATTTATTTATCTACCGGCTTTTTGTTTTCAAGTTTAATAAATTCCAAGTATTTTTATGACATGATTGACCGTTATCAATTTCAATGAATGATTTTATCAGTATTTTTGTGTTGATTCAGCAAGTTAATGTTACTACTACTACTACTACTGTGGTGCGCGCTACTTGTAAGTAGTATATGACACGAGTGTAAACGTAATGTCTGGCAGAAGAAGACGGGGGAAGATCAAGAAAGGAAGAGCGGGAACACAATGGGATTTGTACGATAGTAGAGGTATTAATAGTTATGAAGAAGACTAGGATTTGAAGATATTATTCAAGAAGTATAATTCAGTGAGATAAGGTTAGAAAGACAAAGGTAGAGAAGGTGCTGACGAATCCAGAAGATTAGGATTTCAGAGAGCACAACGAATGGATGCACTTGCATCATTGCAAACGATTTTGAGCCATGTCATTCAAGATCTCTAACCATCGGTGACTTTCGTCTCGCGGACCCCAACCAGGTAACCTACATCTACCAACATGACTCAGTCCACTAGTCAGTGACTTCATGGATTTCTGCCATGTTTTGGTCTGACCGCCCCTAGCTTTCTTCCAACCTACTCCTACACCACAAAACATAGCTCGTCGAGGCAGTCGGTGGTTGGGCATTCGTAACACATGTTCCAACCACCTCAGTTGATGAAGTTCCAATACTTCATCCATCGATTTTCCATCTTTACCTAGTACTCGTTTCCTAACGACAGCATTGTTCACTCGGTCGTCCCACGATATACGAACAATGCTCCTAAGACATCTATGATCTAATAGCAGTAACCTACGAAAATCTTCTACTCTTAACGGCCATGTTTCGCATCCATATAGGAGAGTTATACATTGGTAAGAACTTTACTTTTAAAAAAATAATTTTAAATACATTCGATAACAATCAATGAACCAATAAAAGCCAAGTTTTTATTATTTTATTTGAGTTTACGAATCCGGACTGACAAGCTTAGTAACCTCACTTTAAGGTTTCATACAAAAAACAATATATTTAGACTAGTAAGCTAAGAACGGTTAGTATATAATTTTAATTATCAAATTAGAAAATGTAACTATATGATCCCTTGAGAATTATTCATTTAGTACCTTTAAAAAAAAATATTCTAAAACTGTTTTTAAAAGCAGTTCTTTACCTAACATACACAGAACAAGTTAAACTTACCGGTTTTCATCAAATCATCCGAAGATGTTCCAACAGATTTCTTTTTAACAAGATCTCGCTTAGTATTCAATTTTGTATCTTGACAATCAAAACTTGAACGATTTTGTTTTAATGTAGGTTTTGTAATCTTTTCAAATTCATTCAGTTTTATCTCTAACATGGATAATTTCTTCTCATAACAACTTTGATGTGTAATAAAGAGATTTAACTGACTGTCTAATTTCTCAATATTATCATGCAATGATTGTACTTCTTTTTTGAATAAATCTATTCCATTTTCATCGGTAGATTGATTCAATTTACTTGGACTACTCGTTATACTATTTCGTTTCGAATTGATTTCTTTAAATTTATCCAATATATTATTAATGACTTTGCGAACAATTTCTTGAGTATCATTATCTTTCATTTCACTGTCAGCATTGTTATCCTCATTGACGTTGTCGGTTATTTTCTCTTGTGAAACTTCATCTTCATTATCTATTTCTTCTGACATTTTTTTGTTGTTGTTAATGTATATCGTCTATTTTTTAAAAGTATTCCATTTCGTAAGCGTTCATATCTAAAAATATGTAACAGTATTTAAACAATGCTTTATATATATATATAGTGTTTAATATAATACTTATAAATTTCCCTTGAGTAGTATTGTTTCATTGAGTTAGACGAATCAAATGCTTTATCAAATATATAAAATATGAGCCTGATATCATAAAAACATGATTTTTACAATGAAACTCTATCTTACAATAAAACATACAATGATTGGAAATAACAATAGTTGGTGTATTCATTGTTAAAAATATTATATCATATGATCATTTGAAAATGATAATAAGAAAACTTTAGGCAGCAAACAAAAACTTTATCAATATAGAATAATTTTAACAAAGATTTCAAAAAAAAAAGAAAAATTTATTACTTCTGTTAAAATCTTGTGTAAATGAAACACTAGTATTTCCATTTATTGTCATGGTATCATCTAGAAAATCTCTCGTTCAAATTCAAATAGAAAATTGAAATTTAAAAAAATAAAACTACACTTTAAATTCTTGCCATATTTGTTTGACTAATCAAACAATAATGTTGTTTCATTTCTCTATCAAGAATCGTTTATAACGAGACCACCACCTATGAAAATCTGAAAGTACTGGACAGTGGTTTCATCTTATGTTATTCTATTTTCATATTACTGAAATATAGTTACATTTTGATAAGTTCGTTTGTTTCCACGATTGATGATACATGTTAACTCCCTAGTTGGAACAATGATGATTGTTAATTGTTGAAGGACCTTCAGATTTGATTGATGTTTTACTGAAAGGTGTCAACTAGTTCTAATTTGATATTGGCTCATTGAATATGACAATTCTTTATTGTCGTCTGAAACCATCGTTAGGGACTAGAATGAATTTGATAGTCTATAAGACTAGGTATTGTACAGCATCTTTGTGTGATGTTCATCATCGGTTATAGAATTGTCGAACAAATTTGACCTTGATTATAGTTCTTAAAACTTAAGTTGAATAATCAGCTAGTGGTGTGATGAAATATATAGTTCATACTCTTTTAAAAGACATTCAAACCTCGCCATCCACTTCGAGTTCAAGTTTTTTGAGGCGCTAATTCTCAATCACACTAATTTATTCTGAAAGTCTCCAGAGTTCATCATATGTTAGCCCCCGAAATTCACGTTTTTGAAGCGAGGAAGAACAAAGAATCACTCTTTCTTTAAGATAAAGAACCATGTTTATGAAATTCATGTTCATATCGGAACATTTACCTGAAATCCGATCATTTTAAAGTGTTATCCGAAATTGTACTGGCAATACATGTGATGCAACTATTCACTATATCAACCTTAAGAAATAATTGCAGAAATTTGTCGAACAATTTTGACATTAAAGTCTTTTTTAATCTTCAGAAAACGAGTCAAAATATAGCTTGTCTAATTTGATCAGCCTACACAATTTTCATATTTGGGTTCCCCCAGTTGAGTGCAGGAATTTTACTTGCTCTTGCAGATTAGTTTACACTAAAGTATCTGTAAACATTAAACTGTTCTGTTATCATTCATAGCTCAAACATAGGAGATCTCATCAGTGTTCTCCACTTTGCATCACTAAAATTATTCTCCATAATCATTCAGACAGTCAAATAGATGAGCTTAAAAATAAATACCAAAACATTTTAGACTGTAAGGTCCCATTAATTCATCAAAGTTTAAACTCTCTTCTATCCTTTATACTACTTTATTTATTAACCCCATCTTCTAATTTTCTTTTTCTAACATTAGTTGCTATTACTATTTTCACAAATTAATCAACTACGTATTGTCATATCTGTCGTTTGATATCTTTCAAGCTGATAACCGTCTCTCATAAATAATACTTACAACTTTGATCAGCCATTCTTCATACCTGAAATATCTGAACAAATTTGTTGTGCAGGGCAGTTATTTACTTCTGATATTGATAACTACACTCCCTATATACCAGAACAACCTGTATTAGTTAAACACACTTTGTCTACAGACCCGTTTGATTTATATAGTTTTATATATATATATATCCCTTGGGAATAAAGACTAAATCCTGACGAACACCGTACAATTGTCTTTACCCACTTTTCGTTTAGACCTTAAACTGCCGTATCTGATTGATCCATACTATCAACTTTCCGACAGAAACTTATTTTCTAATAAATTATTAAGTATATTTAATTAACCTGATACCATGTTCTAACACCCCGTTGTTATATGATTATATACACTCAAATTGTATTTCAGTAGTATGGCAGAAATACAATGTCAACTCATGATATTTTACTCCGATATTTCATACACAAAGAATTCGTTTCGTTTCAGTGAATTCCTAAATGTTATTCGTTATAAATGTATTAAACCTTAAAATCGATTATTATATTCGTATGTTCATTTTATTTATTTTCGGTTGATGTTATAATCCTAAAAACTATTTTCAATAAATTTAGATCAAAAACAAGTTTAAAATTCAAACGGTGTGGATTGATTATGTTCAATTTCATGGATTATTTAAATGTTTTGTCTTAACTTATATTAACTAAGCAGTTTAAATATGGTAGTTTGATATATTCATATAATATGAGAGGAAAATGGGTATAGGCGATGCTCTCAATAAATTAATTATTTTTCCAAGTAGTGTTGTAGTGAGTCATTCAATACCTAGCTCACATGACTTGTCCAACTTGTCTTTTGACCTTGTCAATCATTCGTCGCTTTTATTCATGTGTTTGCATGTCTATCAAGCTTGTTACATGTCTGTCTTATTTCTGCCTGTCTATGAATTCTTAGTCATGCTTCATCTAGTTGAGCTGGCTCAGTAGCCTTCTCCACTTCTTTTTATTCGCCATTTAACTCGCTAGTGTGCTTGCCCTTCTTTGCGTGCTTGTGGTCTGCTGGTTCATTTGTGGTGTGCCAAAATAAACGTATTAAACACTTAGTGTTTACCTTCTGATTTAAAAGCGCCAGGCGCTACTTAGTAACGATTGTCTGGACGAACATATTACGAAGTCTAGGAACACGTTGTATATTGACCGTCATGAGACTAATGTTACCTTGTCACCACAGTGTATTGTTTTGATGATAGTGAGATTTGAGATAACGTGTGAAATTCAGATTCATCACCAAAAAAAAAACAGAAAACAAGTTACTAAATATCATTTTTCTCGTAACGCTGAAATACATCACAAGCAATTGCAACAGTCGTAACAAAGGGTGATGAAGCCTATAAATTGACATGTATTTGGAACAGTACACCAAATATAATTAACTTTGATTGGCATTAAGATAAGTGACTTTACAAACGGTAACCAACACAATTTATTGAATTTCTGTCGCTTAAATAGTTTTGATAGACTAGAGAGTATCAAGACATCCTGCTTCTGTGCTTACATGTTACTTCAAAGCCTAGTAGTACGTTTGATATATCAAACTGTGCCGAGCTACTGGTCGAAACAGTTTGTTCACTATATCATGGCGAATACATACAGCAATCTTCTTTACACATACTCACTCAACTCGCGAAATACAGCTTCTTAGTAGCTTCTAGTCTTTCACATGCAAAAAGTTTGGAGCTTGTGTACAGCAAGAATGATTATCGGTGCAACCATAAGCCACAATACTTTCTTAAAACATAATTAAGACATCCAAATTCTAATACTTCTCGGTTTAAAATACTTGCAAATAACACACAGTCTCATTTCCGATCAAAAACAATACACTGTTTATATCTTCAAAACAATTTTTTTCTATATTATAATCACACAAAAACTTCGTCAACAGGAAAGCAACCAACAAAAATAAATATCTTTGTAATGTTAGCAGGGAAACAATCATACAATGAATAACTTATACAAAAATTAATTAATTAATCAAATGACAGTTTCCTAATCATTAAAAATTCATTAATTTTTTATAACTAGTCTCAATCTCATGAACATCCCTTTATCATTGACGTAGAATAATTCCATTATTTCGTTTTAAATATTCACCAACCAATTGACCTGGTAATTGTTCAATTCGTTTGAATTCATCTTCAGATATTGTAATTTGATCAGTTTCAAGACGATTTACAACAGTTACACAAACCAGAACAGCTAAAGTATGAATAAATGAATCAATATATATATATTTATAAATTACTGACCGTACGATGAAAAAACATAGTGTAAAACAAAGTTTATACACTGATACATAACTTTAATCGAATACATTTTAAAATTCATATTAACAACCATACTATGAGTTAACTTGATCATGATTTTGGTGAGAGGAGTATCTAAACTCAAGGTGGTTTTTAAAAAAAGAAGGTTCACTATTTCATATTAAGAAAAAATCCAAGAGTTTTAGTGCATAACTGAACGTATGATATGCTTAGGAGATTAAGTAATCATCTAATTGTTATTCACATTTTCAACTACATTCAGTTTGCAATTTTTCATGGGGATTACTTAACTCTATCATCGATCACTATGTATTTACATATATTGACAAAGTTAAGTTCAATGCGGCTAATCATTTTGTTCTTTGTCGACTATTTCATAAACAACTAGAGTAAACTAAAATAATTACCTATATATTTCTTTAATTGAAATCAAATCAACAAATCCACATTTCTCTAGATTAAGAACAGAGTAGTTCAATTCTAAGCACAATTTATTGATTTTTTATCTAACTGACTGATGAACAGATTCATTGTGTTAAAGACCGAAATTTTTTTTTATGAACACATTTGTAACTGGTAGTGCAAAACCTAACAACATATACACATACATATACTCATGTCTAGATATGTAAACTTGAAATACTAATCAGTCTATAATTTACAAAATATAAATAAGACAAGATAACAAGTTGCATAGAAAATGTAATCATTCCGATATTTGTTTATTTCACAGAGTAAAAGAAAGAAAATTGTTGAACAGAAAAAAATGAGACAGCTTGAGTATGCGAAATACACAATACCGCTACTACGGTGTAGTTAGCTTGTAATTTTGTATTCAGTGTAGGTAAAATAAGACAGTATACTTTTATGATTTTATTTTACGTTTTTGTGAATGTGAGAAAACACAAAAGTCAAATGTAAGTTACGTGTATAAAATGAAGTCAGATGGGTGTAACCCAATACTAACTAACCACCCTGTTCATGTATCGATCAAATCATTGATTTTGAATTATTAATTTAAGAAATTTCTCAGTAGAATTTAAGCAGTTTAGAGAATGTAGTGGAATACTTTTACGATGATAACACAATCGCTGAAATTTAAACATTTATTATTGTACTCGTTCTGTTTAACTGTACTAAAAACACTTACTTGGGCGCAACGTTCATTTTCACGTTGCTTACATCCTTCATAACTAGCTGCTAGATGTAACGCCTACTTTCACCATCAAATAAATATTCAACCTTGGATTTATTTGTTAAACCGGTGACGGGATAGTAACGAGTATTTACGAGGTGATCATAGTCAATCTCGACTCGGTCATCACTAAACGATAATGGCGAAACTTTGCAACTCAGGTGGATTAGTCCGGTAGTATTTCCTTCTCTACACTGGATGGTTTAGTTGTGGAGTTTTAGTCGATCTTCTGAACAGCATCATCTGCTCAGCGAACGAAACTCCACCACAATCAGTAATTGTTTTCGTCATGTCAATAAAGTAACCGCATATCACTCAATGTTCAGTATATAATATTTTTTAGCATAACTAATGTTCAATGTTAAAAAAGTGAGAATAAGTGGAATTCGGGTAAGGAAGTCAACTTTTCATTTGAAACCAATCATCAGTGAAAATCCATACTTTAAAATCTATTTATGATTGTTATAGACGGTGAAATGAACAGCTGAATATTACAAAATACATTGCCTTTACGATATTACATAAACTCTGTTTCAGGAATATTGTCAAATGTAATTGAAGAATTTTTGTGCAAACAAGTTTACTGATAACTTTATTCAGTTTTCATTTTAATTTCTTTTCACGGTATACAGAAATGAACGAAACATCATACTCTCAACCTAAAACATTAAATCGTAGCAATTTGTTAGATTGTTAGCTAAACTGTTAACATTACAGACAACAACAAAATGACAGTAAACTTCCAAATGAACGCTAGTAATTACAGAATTTTCTCATTACTTATTTTGGCTCTCAATGACTAATTTACGCTAATATGTATTCAGCCAAGCAAATTATTTTCCAGTCTATCAACCTTTTAATATCTTCAATGCATAAAAACTCAACGATACAACGAAATATCAAGAGAGAAAAATAGAAACAGAAATTAATTCAACATTTGAATGTATTACCTCGATGACCAGTCAGATGACAATGAGTAGTAACTGCTGTACCTTCCATTTCTAAATTTCTTATACCTTGATCATAAGCCGATTTAAGATAAGCTGATTTTTCTTCTTTGCTAAAAATACATATTGCTCCATCTAATCTGGCTTGTTCTAGAAAATTAAACAAATACGTTCATGGTATGTGAATTTCAATAGAAAACGTATAAATAAAACTACAACTTCACATTGAACTCTTCAAAACTCAAAAACAACAGCGAATCGAAAGTTGATTAATGCATTCTCTAGTATGGAAGTAGAATTTGTTGTCCATGAATCGTTTTCGATATTCAATGCTTGATTGTTCAATGTTCTACAATCATCTTTATTCATTTAACTTAACAGAAATTACTCAGTTTTTATGTATAACCTTATACCATTAATGTACAACAAACTGATATGATTAGTTTCAATATTCTGACAGAAGACTCAGTCCATTTTAAAGAAAAATACAATGGTCGTAGTAGTAGTCGAAGTATTCGTAATTTTGTTTGAAATACTTCAACATTTAAGAAATAATTAACATACTATGTATTCATTTTTTGAAACCATGAATCGATCAATGTTAGACCACCATTAGAAACCTGGAAGCACTGGACGGATGATGGTCTAACATTGATCGATTCATGGTTTCAAAAACGTGTAACTTAACAATCTTCACAACCCCGTCATACTATGTATTATTAGTCTTACCTTCATAAAAGTCATTGGTGGAAATAGTACCACCCACAACAACTGGACAGCTGATTGAAATTTCCTCAGATATTTGTTTCAACTCACGTACAACATTTGTATCCACTTTAGTTTCTCGACGTACATTTTTACCAAGAATACACTGAAATTTGAATTCATAAAATGTGCAACACAAAATGTGTTAAAATGTTACGAATTTATGATGAGATCGATTTAAAAAATAACCTGATTGTCAAGTGTGAAACTGAATCGCCTTTAACAATATTGAAGTGAGCACAAGTGAAACAGTATGACGTTATTTATGCATCGTGGTTAGCAACGCGATTCCTAAACTATATGCATTTTTTGAAAAATCTTTACATAACTTGAAAAACTTATATTTCTCTTCTACAGAATGATAATGTCTCTATTATAATAATATATACACAAATAATGAGCAAGTCCATACATTGATCGAAATGAAAAGTTTCGATTTCAAATAACTTCAGGATTAAAATATAATCCGTTTTCGCCTTACATATAATCAATAATTTGTCATTCATTCTTGCTAATATTTCGTTATATGCTTGTGGTTAAAGTAACTTTCTAGTTTATATGAAACGAATAATAAGATAAGAGAATACTAGTTGTAGTTGTTTAATAGTAGCTAATCGATAAACTATTGCCCGGACTATCTAAGCCACTAACGTGTTAATCCATTGATTTCAGTCAAAAAAAGTGAAGTGCACAATACGTTAATAATCAATAATAATTTTGAACATTGTAAATTCATGATATTAAAATTCATACATACCAGTTCGTGATATGGTTCTAATTTGGAATTCACACAACGATCAGTCACTACAAGTGTACCAAGTTCCACTCCTAATAAAAAATGAAATGATTACATGGACCAAAATGTCTTTGTGCAATAAATAAGCAATATCGTGAAAAAATTTCAATAATCAGTATCACTATAAGGCAATCAAAATTGTTGGATTTTCTAAAACATTAACCAGTCTATGTTCGACACTGGATTTCCGGAAGATGGTTGCCGAATATCGAATGAGAGACCGTAAGACCCGAGTTTGATTTCTGAATATAGGGTGTGATATGAAGTTCTCTAGTAAGATAAAATAGCTCTTCAGTCTTTCCAGATTATCAACAGTTATCAAGCTTAAATTGGTTTGTAATTTTAATGAAACTATTAAGTCATTAGTTCATTCACTAAAACTTCCTATTCATGACTCTTTATGCAGCATGTAACAAAATGAGTTTGGAGCCATTCCAAGTTTTCCATTTTATGGTGTTAGCGACTCCTTTGATCAATATTTCCGATATTCACGGTTTGTATTAGCATTAATATTGTCAGATCTTTTTATGTTGTTTAATAACACACTATTCATATTGGGTATCGATTAGGAGGATAGTGGTGAGATTATAAGAGAGATACTGATCTCTAAATTTACTACTTAGTGAGAACAATAACATTTTGGCAAATTAGGATGCAGATTAACCCCATACGACAAACCCAGACATATTGAGATGAAAAATAAGGATAACCAGTAATTAACACGAAATTTTATACTATAGAAACGGTGTCAACGATACAATTCAATGAGAATTTAGTGCTTTTTTTATTCAAAGTTAACTCAAAATGTCATTTACACGAAAAGGAATTTTACTGATATATATTTCTTAAGTCTAACTCTTATCTTGTCATTCCGTATAAACCCTAAAGGATTTTCGTTTAAATATTACGAACAGTGTTAAATTCTGCCAAAGAACATCAAGTAATTGCCTATGTAAACTATTTTATTTAGTTCGATTTATGAACATCAGTGTTGCTTCACATCAAAATCATCAATGAATCGTTGGTAGATCATCATTAAAAATCGGTCAGCACTGGACGATCGTTTCGTCATGGTATGGGACTCATCATTTACATTTATAGTGCGAATAATTTCATAGGAAGCGTTGAAAACGAACTACATAGATAATCAAGTCTCAATACATTTGTAATGATACGAGATGTGTTACTTTTCATGACGACGACAACAACAAAAGTCACGACGATCAATATACATTAACTAATTCTTTGCAAAATTACAAATTTGACAATCAGTAATAATGAAAAACAAGAACTACTTTACACGTGTTCCTTACCTAAGCCACCCGATGTTCCTAAACGCATAAACAGTACATCTGTACAACCAGCATAATGTAATAATTTTGTCATTTCATGCAATAGAATTAATGTTGACGGTACACCAATGCCATGCTTTTATTAAAATAAAACAAAAAAGGAAACAAGACAATAAAGAGAATTAAAAGTAAAATGTTTATTTGCTTTTTTTTACTAACAAGAATTGAAATCAATGCAGTCGCATGAGTAAACAATTAATTTAAAGTCAAAGAAATTCTAATTGAACTGATAAATACACTTCAATGAAAGTATATTCACGTATTCACTAGATAATAGATGAATATATATTACAAGATTAGACTACATCAAAGATGTTGCAATAGGTAGTAGTGGGAACAAAAGGTACAACTGTTCAATACCTCTTGGTAGTTTCAATAGTTCACTGACTAATATCAGTTCAGCATGAAACAATTTGAAAATCTACAAGACTTGTCGAAAAATCTTATAAGCACTTGATACTATGCTTATGTATGAAATATACAACCTTTCTAGCTCTGGTGGATCATTGTGATGGAGTTTCGTTCTCTAAGCTGGATATTTTGGTTGTCGAACGATGACTGTTCTTCTGAACTTCAAGGTAAAGTTTGTACCTCTGATGATGTTGTTCATTCAGAAGAACAATGATGAAAGCTTCACAATCAAAACATCCACCTCAGAGAACGAAACTGAGTCACAAAATGAAAACCTATCCATCGACAATTAATTGAATTTGATAACTCTGAATGAATAAAATATGGAAGTATGCATATAGTAAACCGATATATATTTGCGAAAAATATCAACTAAATAACTATAACTTGATCAACCACTTTCTGGAAAAAGATAAAACTTTTTTATAAAACGTTATTTTCAACTTACATCTGCAAATAATATATGATCGACTTTGTAGAGTGCAAATCTGCCACTTGAAGTAGCGATATTCTCTACAGGCAACTGCAAACCAGCTGCTTTAGCCATAGATTCTGCAAAATTATAAATTCTACCCCGGCTACCACATATACAGACAAACTATTGAGAAACAAAGAAAAATATAGTGTCTGATATATTGTAAATCATGATAGGAATTAAAAAGTTTTAAAAAAAAACCGGTTAGACCTTATGAAAGCATCATCCGGAAATAAGGATATTATCATTGTATCACTAAGCATTATTATTCCACTACAGTCAGTTTTTTATTTAATCGATTTCGAATCATACAAAAGGTAATTGTCATTTCTAACTAGTCAAACTTCAATCTAAACAGTAGATCAAACTCTCTATGAAAGGATGTCATAATATAACAAAACTGTTGAATTTACTCGTTTGTATTAAATAGCGATCCGTGAAACAGATAATGTACCAAATCGAATCAATATATCTATTGCAAATAGTCATCATTTATACCCTCACATAAGTCACATTCATTAAGTTGATAAGTTTATGATAGATTTACTAAACTTGAAGAAATAATATTTTTCTCACAAATAACATCAAAGTAAACAGAGATAACTAATGACCAATGTTTTGTAGATACTTCAATTGCTTAACACATATTCTACTTGGAAAATTTAATACAAAATCAGAAAATCAATTTATCCTTTCCATATAAATTATAATTATCGTTTTTCTTCTTATTTGACATATTATTTTCTGGAGTTCCCTGACTGTTAGCTACGTAAACTTCAGTGAACTTAAATATTTGCATCATACTCAAATGAATCTTAGCCAAGTTTAGAACAAAATAAAATAACTAACAATGAAAATTACCTTGACATCACCAAATTTCTCTTTGAAATTAAATGATTTTGTGCTGAATCCAAAATGATGGAAAACATCTTCATCTAGTTCGCTTAAATAACGATTTAAAGTTGGTTGAGCGGTAGTCATTTTCAACAAGAAAAGTGGTAGTTTTTAAAGTTTGAGGTATATATATATATATATATATATATATATATATATATGTTGCCTCAAATGTGTTACTCTATAACATATCATTTTACTTAGCACTAAAGTAAAATTTGATTGGTTGATTAACATTTTCAAAATTGTAATCTGTAAACTCTTGACCAATCAAAATCGGTGTGTACATAATGAATCATGCTAATCATCATAAACATGCTTAACCCATTAGCCGGAGTTTGAAACGTTGATTGATTTAAACATTCCTTAGAATAATCTACGAGAATCACTGGAAAAGTCATCTCAGTAAAATTGGTGACAAGCTTTTCTTGCACACAAATCATCAACAACATTTTGAAGGTACATTTGATCACGAACCTAAATCAGCTGAAAATCAGAAAGTATTATTACATAAGCATTTCTCTCAGTTTCGGACTTCAAAACATTATAAAGTTTATTGTCTTAGTGAATTACAAACGGACTGACACTGAAAATATTGACTACTAGATTACGATCTGGTAACGGTAGTTATGACTTAACAGTAATCATTACTTGGAGACATTTGGTGTTATGGATAAAAATGTAAAGAGCACTTTAGTTAGTAATTTGGGTACTCTCAACTCTCTTTCACCATCGTAAAATCAGTTATCAGTCTCATATTACTGAAAGAATCTAATAGTCTAAAATATGCTGAATAGTTAAATGTAGCCTGAAATTCCAATTTTCAATTAACTACTGAATGAGTGGTGTTGATTATTGTGTGTTTAACTGTACTTCAGCTTATCAGAGGAAAGACAAATACATTTCCGTACATATGAAAATGGTGGTAGAAAACTGATATCCACCTCCCATCGAAAAGCATTCGACTGATTTTCTATATGATCAACACTTCAAGCATATTTTTTTTAAAATTACTGAAATGTATTTATCCATTGTTTAGTCGAACTAATAACATTCTACAGCGTCATCATCCATTTTGTCCTGATTATTACCATAAAATATGAGTTCATCTTTCTATCCACCAAGTAATAATATCATTAATAATGATACTGACCAAATACTAAGCACTTCGCAATCTAAACTACAAGATAAATAGCCTTATTTGTTGTTTTAATGTAAAAACTAATAAGTTGCTTTGACCATACATAACGAAATTATAAACTGCAGACAGTTCACAACTAACCGTTCAGTTTTATTTATATTTGCAAGTAATCGATGGAAAAATGCCTTCATCAATCTATTCTTATCTGACAATTCACATGTACCCACGAGGAGAATGTTCATTGAAAAAGAAGAGAGGTGGATCGCGACTCACTTTTGTTCGAATACAAAAAACACAGAAATATCAGGCAGCTGGATAGCATCACATAACTTAATAGAGATGGATATCAGCGCAAATAAAATCAATGAAATCTAATCTGAATCCAAAACCAAATAATTACGAGATTTACAAAAACGTTCTATGATTTTAATCTCAGGTTAAACCTTTCTGAGTCATACAGAATTCTTCGCTTTAAGACAATATTTACCAAAATCTCACCATTTCCTAGCACCAATTCAGGCATGTTAATCCGCGCGAAAGACTGAAGATATTGGGTTAAATTCAAGCTTGTCATGTCATGAATACTCAATACTGAGGGATTCCACTCAACGTTGAAGTAACTGTCCAGTGTTTCCAGATTTAAAAAAGTGATTTCAATTTGACAGGTTATTCGATTTTAACTAAATCCAAACAAACTCTAGGCTAATAATCAAGTCGGTATTAGTACTCAATTGGTCAATTACCTGTCCTGCACATTAATCAAGAGTATATTACTCCGAAAGTGACATGATTTCTGAATATTTTGAATAGTCTGAGACTAATCTAGATCCCCACTCATTTTTTACTCAACAAGCCAAACTAAACTATTGAATTGCTCAGTAGTGAGCCGGAAAACAAGAAAGCTTACGGAAATCACTGAATTCAGTAGAACGTATATAAATTTAGTTCCAGTAATAAATACTACATTTCTACTTGAACTAACACTCTATTAATCGGAAATAAATTTTCCTTCTCATCAATATCAACACTGATTGTAATCGAATAAGCAAATCCATCATAAGAGATGTGTTCACTTCGAAAATGAACACAAAACTATTTGTATTAGTCATATTATTTTACCGCCACAAAACAAATCAAGGTAAATATTAGTACGAAATAAATAGTTTGCACAAATGATCAGAGTTATAATAGGAGTGATAAAATTAGCAAAATACGTACAACAAGTGTAAGGATTAACTAAATAACGATCATATTTGCTTCTCATCGATATCATGAACGATTACATTGCAGAACGAAAAACTCAACTGTACAGAACGATGAACTTCTCTCAACCTATACAAAAATACTAATTTAAAATGAATTTACCATTAACTTCGTATCATATTGTAGACACAGATAATTATCCAGTTATGGTAACGTGATATATATATATATATATATATATATATAGAGAGAGAGAGAGAGAGAGGTTACAGACATTGTACACTTTCATAAATCACAAAGAATATACAAAATGTGTATACATCAGTTACATTGTGACTTTTTCTCTTCAATTTAAAATATCTATGTACAAGAAATAAAACACACTATTACAAAAATATATGTATCGATTGCAAATAACAAGATTTGTACGAGAATTCTGAAATTTTATTTGAAAAAAAGCACAGAATATAATGCAAGAGAACAAGTGAAATGAATAAAAGTTTACAGTCACGAAAACATGTTTTCCAAAGCACAATGAAGTATACATTGAACGATAAAAGAAATCAAACGAAAAACGAAAGGCTATTATGTACAGTAAATAATTAGATGATGTTTAACCATTTTAGTAAAAATCAAGCGATGTTTACCAATTTTAGCAAACGTCTAAAAAAAACCTACTGAATTATGCGAAATGACCACTAATCAATGCCAAAAACTCTGTTTAGACGAATGTCCTGTTAGTTATCATTGAAATGTGAACTATAAAAAACGAACAGACTGATTACAAGTCTGAAAAGCTACTGTGAGTCCAGAATAAATTCACTCAAAACCACTTCAATTCTATTCTATGAGTTTGCAGTATTCATAATGTATAGTTTAAATGCTACATGTTGAAAGCTAAGATTCTTCATTAGTTACGGAAGTCAATACATGTTCAAACTAACCCAAACTGATGGACATAATCGATTGGCTAACTGGAGAACTGATGCTTAACCAGATATTTCAGCTGCTAAAACTGTATTACTATCAGGTAGAGAAGTGGTAGATGTACCACTAGAACAACCCGGCGTTGAACGATTATTATTATCATAATTTTTATTGTTATTTATACTACTTGTAATATTGTTAGTAGTAGTATTAGTGGTAGGTGAAGAAATACAGAGATGATGAGGAATTCAGAAATTGAGAGAACACAATAAATGGATACACCTGCGCGATTGTAAAAGGTTCTGAGCCCTGTCATTCAACATCTCTAACCATCGATCACTATCATCTCGCGGGACAGATACTTATATTTGTTAAAGAAATTATTATTATTATTATTGTCATGTGATTATAAATATGAGCCAAACTGATCATTTGTGAATTTAACCTTATTATCACGTGTATGTAACGCATCTTTCTCATTTCACTAATCAAAAAACACGTCAGATTATTTTGTTATCTCTATGATAAGAAAATGGTGTTGTTTCTTTATTCCGATAAAAGTTTCGATTCATTTATTAGTTTAAATGATTTGATTTTTAGTCTAAAGAAGAATCCGAAGCAGAAACCAATTTCAACATAGATCATACGATAAGGACTAGAAAGTGTATTCTTTTCAGTGCATAATGACCTCATGTCTAAGAAATAAATTTACTTCTTCGAAAAGAATTATTTGTTTGGTATTCAGCGCACGTGAGTCGATTACAATTTGAACAATACACAAATAAACCTGAATAAATAATAATATCCGTTACGGATTAAGATAATTTACAGAGAATTATAAAAGTAGAAGACAGATTTCTCTCTCTCTAATATGAGTAGTCTGCACCTACCAGTAAGTACTAGGCAGAGGTTGAATTAACAAAACTTTCAAGGTCACTTTAATAATCACTATTTTGGAAATCATTAGTTTATAGTTCAAAAACTTCAATTTATTTTCAAAACATATCATAAAATGATCCAATGTCATTCATACTTAACACTAATTTAATACAGATCAAAATGTTTTGTTTTGTTTTTAGACTAAAATTAAGTAACCAGAAAACTTTTGTTTCGAGGTCATTCAATATTGTAATACAAAACATAGACAATAAATTTCTTTGATTGAATCTCATTCATTTTTCTCAAGTTCAATTTATAAGTACAAAAAATTTCGAATGAATACAAAGATGAATCGAACAATCAAACATTTAGCAAACACAGTCATTATTGAATGAATATGATTGTGTGAGCTAAGTGTCTGTGTCTCGCAGTCTGTCTGTCTGTCCACACTCAGCGGCCTGTCTTATTTCACTTTCATCAATTATATGTGAGTAAACTACAGGGAAAAATTATACTATAAAGACAAGGCCATCAACTTTCAAATAATCATCTCAAGGTCTCAATACCTACTGAAAATCGAAAATGATAACTTTTGACGTCATAACAAATAAAAAATACATGTTTATTTTCAAGTTTAACAGTTGAAAGCAATCTGAATCAGTTCCATACAACAAAAATATAAATGACTATTGAAATTCTATCAAATATCACACAGTCTCATTTGTAAAAAAAAATCACAAGGATTTTGAATTGATTTCCGATCACAAACAATACACTTTTTATATCTTTAAACGAAATTTTTTTAAAAAAAATACGTTTACAAAAGGAAAGTAACTAAGAGAAATTCACACATAAAAAAATATCTTCGTAATGTTATGAAAATAAAATAATCACACTCACAATGCATAAAAACCAGTTGACTTATACAAAAATCAATTAATTAATTATATAAAAGTTTTTTATAAGTATAAACCATTCA